TGCACCTTCAATCGGAATAGTTAGATGTATGCTTGTAAATGTTGCAAGGTTTATTAGCAATTTTTGTTTGTGGCAGCTACTGCATCAGAAATTGTTGGCCAAAAGTTGATTGCAGTTGTGGTGCGGGAAATTGTTAGCACTACGATGCCACGAAGTGGTCTCTGGTGTTGTTAGATAGAATGTAGAGAATTTCCATTTCTCCCCCTGTCACCCCCATCACTCTATTCATTTCCAATCTATCTCGTACTCATAAAAAAATCTATCCATTCAGGAATTCACCTGCGACGTATCCGTGGAGGGTGGCAAGTCCTCGCAGCCGCTGCAGTTCTCGTTCACGTTCTACGATCTGGACGGGCATCATGGCAAGATAACAAAGGACGACATTGTGGGGATTGTGTATACCATATACGAGTCGATTGGCAAGTCCGTGGTGGTGCCCCACTGTGGCAGCAAGACAATCAATGTGCGCCTCACCGTCAGTCCCGAGGGCAAATCGAAATCCGCACAGCAGCCGGCGATGGCGATGGGCGTTGTCCCCGCTTCTGTGCCCCTTCCAGCGGCAGCACTCGGCAACAACAACAATAGCAACAGCAACAGCAACAACAACAAACTGAAGAAGTTGCCCACGGGCCTGGCAGCCATGTCGAAACAAATGAACGTCGGCAGCGGCGGCGGTGGAGCGCTAACGACATCCGCCGGCACACGCCGCCAGCATCGGTATCGACCGCGCAAACTGATTAAGTCCGACGACGAGGACGATGACAGCAACAGCGAAAAGGAGAAGGAGAAGGAGAAAGAGAGAGAGAGAGAGAGGGAGAGGGAGTCGCATGCAGCAGACCAGCAGCCAAGTGGGAGCGGCAGCAAGGGTGCTGGCAGCAAGAGCCACCATCATCACCATCATCACGGCAGATACCAGAAGAACCAGAGCGGCGCCAAATTGGAGCACCAGCAGCAGCAGCAGCAGCAGCTGTGCTGTGCCGACACGCCGGACAATACCTACGAGAATATGTTGAATCTCAAACAGGATACACAGGCAGCGGGCAACGAGGCCACGATTCCCGACTGTCCTTCATCGCACCGCCAGCTGCACCATCAGCGGCAGCAGGACATCTACATGAAGCAGGCCACACAGCGCGTGAAGATGTTGCGGAGGGCGCGCAAACAAAAGGTAGGCACAAGGTAAAACAGACAAACAAATCATGGCAAAAACAAAAAAACTCCCAAATCCAATCCAATCAAATCCGAAAATCGAATTGTGGCTACGAAACGACTCAAACCATTCATGGCCACAACGACCGACCCGACCCCACCCGACCCTTACCCCCACCCTCCATTGTAAGACCCAAAACCCAAAAGTCGCATTTTGTTTTTGTTTTTGTTGCTTTGCTTTGTTCTGCATTCATTTTGATTGTTTTAATTATTATTTAATTGAATTATGTTTTATTTGTATATTTATTTTTTGGTTAAACCATCACCAACCACCACCAACAATTGAACCACAAAAAACAGTACCAGGATCACTGCTTGGAGACGCGCCAGCGCAGCCTCTCGGTGGGCAATGATTCGGGCAATTGGCAGAACCGCCATTTGCAACAGTCGCTGCAGCAGCAGCCACAGGCGGCACACAAGAGTGCCTCGGTGTCGCCACCGCCCCTGGCGGGGGAGCTAATGCTGGACGGAGTGCAGCTGCGCCAGCCACGGCCCGCCCATCAATCCCACCATCAGCAGCTGCAGCAGCAGCAGCAGCGGAAGTCGGCCGAGTGCTGGAAATCGGCTCTAAATCGAAACGATTTGATAAGCATCATCAGGGAGAGCATGGAGAAGAATCGCCTGTGTTTTCAGCTGAATGGGTAAGCAGCAGCAGCATCCCCAATCGCCAATCGCCAATCAGCAATCACCAATCCCCAACACACAATCACCCAATCAACCATAAATCATTTGCTCTTTGCATTTTCCTTTTGTTCTGCAAACTTTTTGGCGACCCATTCCCCCCCCCTCCCCACTCGGATCCCTAATTGAATCACTAACCATCCATAACCATTCCTGACAAATAGCCCATGCAATCAGCCAACCAGCTACTAATTGAAGTCAAATTGTTTTTGCCACACACACAGAAAACCCCAAGCCAATGTGAGTCCCATACGGCAACCGGCAGCACAACAACAACAACAACAACAACAGCAACGCCAACGCTCCAGTACGGGATCGAAAATTCCAACACTAATTGCCAACCACAGTCCTGCCGCCCCCCAGTCTCAGCTCAGCTGCAGCCCCCCACCCTGCACCCTGTCTCTGTCCCTGTCCAGCAGCAACCATCCGGCGGCAGCCACCTGCAGCATTCCGGTGCCAGCACAGGCACAAGCACAGGGACAGGCACAGGCACAGGCACAGGTGCCAGCGCCTCCGGCGGTCATCGAGGTGGGGGGAGGTCATCATCAACACGACCATCCCCAACCGCACATACCCATCTACCATCAGCAGCTGGCCATTAATCCGGCCGTACTGGCCGCCCAGCACAGTCACAACAGTGCCCACAACAAGCTAAATCTCTGTGGCTACGATTCGTTCCTGCATGCCACAATCTGTGGCGGCGGATCGGCCGCCCACTCGCCACCGCCGACGCCGAGCAATGTGGCCACAGTGCAGCCCATACCCAAGAAGAGTCACAATCAGAAGAGCCTGCTGCAAGGCTACCAGCGACTGGAGCAGCAACAGCAGCAGCGGTCCAGCAAGGACTACAAGAACTACGGCAATCTCATCTATGCCAAGCTCAGCGAACAGCTGCAGCAGAAGGAGCGGGAGCAGCGTCGGCATCGCCACAAGCAGCAGCAGCAGCAGCAGCATCACCATCAGCAGCAGCAGCAGCAACAGCAGCAACAGAACCAACAGCAGCAGCAGCAGCAGCCACTGAAACCGAAGGAGGAATCTCTAGCAGAGCAGCGTCCTCCCACTTCGAGCTCCAGTTCCGCAGGCTCCAAAATCTTTGGCGATGCCTTGGAGTGCGCGCACCTCTTGGCCAGCGAGGAGGAGGATCTGCCGGCCAGCCCACCGCTGACTCACAGCACACCCAGCAAGGTGGTCAGCACCGATACCCTCATCGATCTGAACGACGATGTGGGTGAGGCCGTGGCCGAGGCCGTCACCGAGAGTGGTGGAAAGCAGCAACAGCAGCAGGCCCTGGAGGCCGATGAGGGGCAAGAGCAAGAGGTGGAGCTGGACACCAGTGCCTCCAGCTCGATGATCCATCGCTATGTGCACGAGCACATCCACCATCACTACCATCACTTCAAGGAGCAGCAGGATGTCTGAATGAAACCACAGAAAGGATGACTACCACTAGAACGAATGAAACTATAAACTATGTATTTTTGAATGTTGCTTATGTTTTCAGTCTAATCTAATGATTAATGTAGCGCCAATTGTAATTTAAAGTTAGCATTTATCATCCATCTACGAAACCAACAAAATACCACCCCAACAAAATATGTATTCGAATCAGCAAACGATATTACAAGAGGATCTGGAAACGAGGGGGATCCTTCCACTCCTCCCAGTCTTCGTTTGGTAACCACTTACGACTCCTTGCCCCAAATGGGGTTTATGGGGTGTACACATACACAAATACATGCATATATCGTATCGTATATAGCCTTCTTGTAGCTTATGCAAAAAAAAAAGAAACCAAAATTAACGCGCCTTTTGCCTTGGCAACACATTCGTATGCTTTTTTTTGCTATGCTAACCGACCTAGCAGCATGCTGCCGCAACACATATCACGTATCAGAGAGCTGGCAGCATGTTGCCCCAAGCATTTTGCGTTGCTGAAAAAACTAAAACAAAAACCGAAGGAAAATGTGTGGAAAATGACTCTATTGCTTAGTGAAAATTATTAAATGAAATTGTTGTCTATAATATGAAATTTTATGCAGCGCTTCTTAGGTGTATAGAAAGAGACAGGCAGAGAGAGAGAGAAGGAGATGGAGATGTATCTAAGTATCTCCTTATGAGAGTTTTAAGTTATCTTCTACCGATCGATCGTGTATATTTATGTTTTTTTTTAAAGCCAACTTAATTTTAAACCCTATTATTAGTTTCTAACACTAACCGCCAACAAGACAAGCAACAATGCAACTTAACAACAACAAAAAAAACAAACAATTTTAGTTCAATTTATAGTTTTTTTGTATACCACGTATTTTATGAGAGAACTTTTTTTTTTTAAATCAATCAATCAAATAATCAATTTAAATCCAATCAAATCAAATGAAATGAAACGAAACGAAACAAGCACAAAAACAAAATGCATTTAACTCTTATTTAAATAAAAAAGACTGATTTCCAATTAAACATTAAACATAATGAGAAATACTAAATAAATTATTGAATTGCTAAAATGGAATTAATTGATTTCGAGAATTGTTTTTTTTTGAATAATTATTATAGAAGGGGGACAATTATGGGATCACCATTTTTTATAAATTTAGAAAAGTTTCAGGTGGACTTTTGGATGAAACTCTTTCGGCAAATGAATGTTTATGCTGTTGGCCGACTTCGGTTCTCATTATATTTACAAATATCTTTTAGAGAGATATTAAAATATGAGCTTGAAAAACCACACCAGGCCAAAATTATTCTCATAGATTTGAAAGGAAGGCGTCAGACAAACTCTGACTGCTACGACTGCCGTTGGACTGACTGCAAGACAAAAGCTAGCTGATTGCAGAGAATTGCAGAAAAATATCAACTTTTAGCCAAGGCATTAATAATGTTGCCGTACAAATTGGACATTGTCTTGGCTCTGAAACAACGACACAGCACAACACAGAGATATAAGATCTAAATTTAAATCGTCGTGCGCCATGTGACAAGAGATCGGAGATCGGAGAGAGCCAGAGAGGAGTTCTCTCGAGCGTCCCATTGGATTGGATTTATTTTTTGGCAGCAGAGCCACAAAACAATACAAGTTCTCGCAGACAGAGATCGCAGATCGCGAGTAGAGTCCGAAAACAGAACACTAGAGATGTAGAAATGTTGGATTTTCAGTGAATTTTCAAACGTTGCGCATTACGCAAACACACGGCGATCCAGGAAAAGATACAGTGAGAGGACAGTGGAAGATTAGTCCGAAGATCAGTGGAAGATTACCATCGTATCAGATCATAAATGTCCTCATCGCTGACATCCTGTGCCCTGTGCCAGGCGAAAGCCTCGCAGCTGTGTGCCGCCTGCCGGAGCGTGGTCTACTGTAGCCGGGAGCACCAGAAGGAGCACTGGAAGCAGGGTCATAAGCGCGAGTGCAAGTGCTATGAGGTGGCAACCAACGAGACGCTGGGCCGGCATCTGCGCGCCACCAGGGACGTCAAGATTGGGGAGGAGATCCTGAGGGAGGCACCCCTCTTGCTGGGTCCCAAGGTGGCCTCGGCGCCCATCTGCCTGGGCTGCCATCGGAATCTGCTAGCCCCGCAGAAGCAGCGAGGCAACTATTACAAATGCAGCTCCTGCAGCTGGCCGCTGTGCGGGAGGGAGTGCGAGGAGTCGTCCCACCATCGAGCAGAGTGCCAGCTCATGTCCGGCAGCAACTTTCAGTCGAAGATCAACTACACGCCCGGCGAGGACGAGCGCAAGGAGTCCGCCTACTGCGTGATTATGCTGCTGCGTTGCATGCAGCTGAAGGCCAGCGATCCCGAGGGTTTTGCCCGCCTCTCCGCCCTGGAGGATCACCTCGAGGAGCGCCTGGCAACACCCCTGTACCAAGTTCTGCGGGCCAATCTCATAACGTTCATCAAAACCATTTTGGGTATGCGCGATTGGTCGGAGGTGGATATCCTGCGCATTGCCGCCATCCTGGACACCAACACCTTCGAGCTGCGACAGCCCCGAGAACGGCGAAAGGTGAGAGCTCTCTTTCCCGGTGCGGCCATGATCTCACACGATTGTGCGCCCAACATGCGGCATCGCTTCGACGACGACATGAACATTATATTCCTGGCCAAGCGGCCCATTGCCAAGGGCGAGATCCTGACCATTTCGTACACCCAACCCCTGAGGAGCACCATCCAGCGACGGTTACACCTGCGGCAAGCCAAGTGTTTCGATTGCGCCTGTGACAGGTGTCAGGATCCCACAGAGCTAGGTACCTTTGCCGGGGCACAGACATGCGTTAAGTGCAAGGCGGGAAAGGTCAGTAGCAGCATGGATCGAGGGGGTATGTTCTTATAGGACGTTTTTCCCGCAGATCATCTCCGTGAATCCGCTCCAGAATACGGCCAACTGGAAGTGCCAGCTATGCAACTTGAAGCGATCCGCTAAGGAAGTGCTGCTCTCGGACGCCAAGCTCCAGCAAGAGATTGAGGCGCTGGACAAGACGACACCCGTGGATTTCGAGGATTTCATCTACCGCCATCGAGTGGAGCTCCATGAGACCAACACCCATGTCCTTCAGGCGAAATATGCCCTCACTCAGCTGTATGGAAATGCTCCAGGATTCACCATGGATGGTAAGCAGATCGGCGGTTGACGGGGATTTCCGTATACGGTAGTAACCCAAGTGTCGTGTCCTCACAGAACTCAGCGAAGAGTCGCTCAGTCGAAAAGTGGACCTCTGCGAGGAGCTCCTGAAATTGGCCAACATTTTCGATGGCGGCTGGAGCATCTTTCGGGGCAATTTGCTGATCGACCTGGAGGAGGCCCTCGTGGCACAGGCCTTGCGCGTGGAGGAGGACCCTGTGGAGTGCGCAGAAAAACTCAAACAGGCATCGGAGCTGCTGGTGGAGATCGGAAACATTATGAAACATGAACCCGAAATGCAACAGCTGCTGGCTGAGCGTCAAGAAATCCTAAATAGAGCCCTAGAGCGATTTGAAGAGGTCAAAGAATGCGAATAGCCTTAAAGAAAAATGTTCGAAATAAACTTTTTACAATTGATTCGAAATAAGAAACGTTTTATTATTGAAATGTTTCAATTTTAAAATATGCGCCTGGTTTTATATCTACGAGTAACTTATTGTTAGCTATCGGCATGTTTATACCGATATTTTAGTGCGATAAATATTATAGAAGCTTGCATCTCTTTTCTTTTCATGTTTTTTCCATCTAGCAGGTTGACCATTTACGGTATTCACGTCGAAATTTGCCTATTTTGTAGAACATTGATTCATCAATCGGATAAATTTATGTGGGCAGAGCTGAGAGATCTATCTAGCTAGTAATATTCGATGGAAAATCAAAATCGGGGAATAAGGTTTCCAATCCTTGACGGACACCAATTAACCCATTACAAGCCAAGCGGGTATATTAATTTTCCACCGAAAATATTGAATAATTTAATAATTTTAGCTAAGTTCAGGAGAGAGATCGTTTTTTTTTTTACGTTCAGAGGAAATATGTCATGAATCTACAAGAAGAATGTACAATCGTTAATATTTTTCGCCATTTACCTTAAGTAGTTGAACTGTTTAAATAGAGGGGGCTTCAGAGGAATATCGGAATATCGGTTCCACATGTTTTTTCACGTGTTTTTTGTTTTGAATATTTTTTGCTCAAATTTCGTTTGAATTGGACTATAATGGAGAGTGTAATTAAAGAAACGCCTTCTGAAGTGCCGCCAAATGATGCCCCACTAAAGGAGGCAGCGGTAGAGCAATCTGCCTCCAACGACGTGCCCGACCAGGAAAAGGCCGGCGAGGAGTACGCCTATTTGGAGCGGAATGAGTTTACGTCAGAAATATACAAAATAGAAGTGAAGAATATGGGGTACTTTGGCATTGGGGTAAACAAGAGACATCCGTATGTTCCTCTTTTCAAGACACTAAACCACTTCCCGTTTTAGGAGTTCAAAAAGCTACTGAAGAATACATTGAAGCTGGACATGACGAAAATCAAGTCCCCCACCAGAAAGGAGTTTGCATTTGTGTGCTTTCGCACCCAGGAGGACCAGCAGAGAGCCTTGGAGACACTGAACGGCTACAAGTGGAAGGGAAGGGTATTGAAGGCGCTGGCAGCAAAGGCATCCGCCGATCCACTGCAGAAAAAGCGAGCGGCAGAAGGTGCCACCGATAGCAAGCCGAAACGTCAACGCACAGCCGTAGAGGCCACCTGTCCACTAGCGGGTATCACCTACGATGAGCAACTAAAGCAGAAATCGGAGGAAATGTCCACGCTACTGAAGAAATACACCCAAGAACTGAGGAAGATCAATCCCCAGGCGAAGCCACATTTGGATAGCTTTAAATTCAATGAAGTTCTGCCCTCGCCCACGGTCAATGGCTATAGGAACAAGAACGAGTTTACGGTGGGCAAGAACTCGGCAGGCGAAGTCGTGGTGGGGTTCCGCTTGGGCAGCTACAGCGATGGCTCTGTTGAGGTGGCGGAGGTTCAGGATCTGCCGCACCTGCCCGACCAAGCCAAATGGGCAGCCCAGAGTTTTCAAAAACTTGTGAGGCAATCGAAATTCCAGCCCTTCAATCCAGATGGCAATGTGGGACACTTCCGGCAGCTGATGGTGCGCTGTTCCAGCGCCACGGGCGAGCTGATGCTGGTGGCGGGCATCTACTCCTCCAATCTGAGTGAAGACGAACAGCAGGAACTAAAGCAGGAGCTAAAGTCCTTCTATGAGCACGCGAGTGAACAGGATGATGCCACCTTCAAGTGCACTTCCTTGTACTATCAGGATGTCAAGCATCGCGAGGCTGGCCAGATGGTTAACCCCGTCGACCATATCCTGGGCACCACACACATCACAGACACCATTCAGGGACTCCAGTTTCGCATCAGTCCCCTGGCCTTCTTCCAAATCAACACGGAAGGAGCCAATGTGCTCTATCAGCAGGCCATTGATCTGGTGGCTCCTACGAAGAACACAACCATGCTGGACATTTGTTGTGGCACTGGGACCATTGCCCTGGCCTTTGCTAAGCATTGCAAGCGGGTCCTGGGCGTGGAAATCGTACCAGATGCCATCAAGGATGCGCAATTCAATGCCGAAGCGAACGGAATCAAGAACTGCAAGTTCTTCACGGGCAACGCTGACGACTTCATCAAGAGCATGGTGCGGGAGGCGATGTATGAGCAGGAGCCAGGAAAGCCAGTCGATTTGATAGCCGTGGTGGATCCTCCCAGAGCGGGACTGCGTAAGCTCCATCAGAAATCAATCTTTGGGTATAATAACCAATTTATTCTTCCATTCCTCTGTAGATAATCGTTCGATTGCTGCCATTCGTTCGGCGAGTGCCATCAATCGTCTGGTGTATGTCTCCTGCAATCCACACAGCGCCAAGCGGAACTTCATCGAGCTGGCCAGACCGGAGTCCAAACACTACAAGGGCGAACCCTTCTATCCGAAATCCGCTGTGGCCGTAGACATGTTCCCGCACACGACACACACGGAGCTGGTCATTCTGTTTGAGCGTGAGGCCAAGACAAAGACTGATGAAAATGCACCGCCAGCAGCAGCAGCAGAAGCAACAGACGCTGTAGAGGCAACCACAGAATCACTAAAGACTGAAGCCAAAACTAATGCAAACATTGAGACAAACACGGCCGACGCCGCCGTCGATACGGAGACGGGAACTCTGCCAATAGCGTGATGTGGGTGCTGTGTTGTGTGTTGTGTTTGAATGACGGTACAGTTGGCTGTAAATGTAAGTTCTTATAGACTGGCGTACCGGACTCTAATAATCTCTTAATCTTTTAGGTCACTCTCGCGATTCTCTCGCCAGTGTTCACGAACGAAACACTCAGCCAGCCAGCCACACGATGCCTCATTCTCGCTTATCTTTGCACCGGGATGTTGTCATCCATCCATCCATCCATCATTGTCTCTTTGTGCTGCTGCCTTGCGGCTGCTGTTGCTGCTTCTACTTTTATTGTTTTAAATTGATTTAATTGTATTTACGCTGTTCGGACGTCTGGTACGACGGGGAAGCGGCCAAATCGACACCGAGCGACTTCCTATTTAGTAGTACTCTCTAAGTTGGAGCAACGGTTTTCAAATCGACATCATCAACATCATCAGTACAAGTTTCGACGCTCGTGTGATAAGAATTGCAATCGCTGCAATCTTCCTACTGGCATTGTAAACGTGTAGCAATCAAGCTTCAAGTGCTTCAAGTGCAACGACCTTTCCCAGGGGCAGCCAATTGCCATTCGGAAAACACTCCAAGGATCCAAGGATCCACTGATCAAATGTCTGATCACCAGGTATGAGATGTTCTCTACGTTTATAGCTTAGATTTCCATCATATTTTGGAATATGAAAGTGTCGTTTTAGCAAATATGGGTGGGTTTTGTAATAAATTCAAATTGTGTAATCAATTCTACAATATATAAGTTATACATGATTACAAGTGCATTTCTCAGGAATAAGATACGTGCTTGTTCAGGTCATCGTTGAACAGCAGTTTGGTTGCACAATGAAAACTGTGTGCCTTCTGGTGTGCTCCTTCTGCTTATCTAAACCAAATATTTGTTCATTTTGCTTTGCCAGTTACAAGGTCCAAGAATCATTCGAGAGAGCTGTAAACAAGCCGGCAGTCGCAGCTGTAGCCATAAAAACAAAATATATGTTTATTGTATAAAACAACACGAAAATATTATTGTTTTGGTGAACAACACCAGAGGCAACGTGACCGATATCATGTTGGATAACAACATACATACATACATAAATACATATGCACATAGGAAAACAACACACAGATCGGATGGGTCGGATAGCATCGGATCGGATCAGATCGTATCAGGAGTGAGATTCATTTGAATATTAGACGCGAATGGCTTCCCAGAAGGGGCGCGGCACACACATACATAAGTGTGTGTATGTACATATATCTAATGTGGGTGTGCGTAAGAGACAAACGAGAATAAAGCTTTCGTGAGCGGCCGCCGTACCGTTAAATATTTAAACGTGCAAACGCAAGCAAGCAGAAATTGTACTTTGGACCCGATGAGGCGGTTTGTTTGCCTCTATAGCAAAATGATTATAGACTAAAATATAAAGAAATAACACCTTAATTATTATAAATCATATCGAAATGTATACATATGTATGTATATGAACACATAATGCGACAGAGAGAGCGCACAAAGGAATCTGAGAAAAGGGAGAACTGAGGCGCCGAGAACAAGGGCACTTTAGTTTTATTTATAATATCCGGCAGCCAGAGACGACTACATGGACGTACATAGGCTGTACGGCGCCTAGCAACATGAAATGAAATTATTAGATTAGGATCGACAGATACGTAGTATTTTGAAGACCTTGACCGGGAAAGCTTTACTTTCGAAGCAATTTCCACTTTGCGCACGGAAAAAGCTTCCCTCCCCCGTATCATATCTTCAAAATAATGCTCGGAGTGTATAGTTCTTGTCTTATCAGCAGAGTGGGATGTAAACAAACCCGAACTGAAGGAAAACAACAATATCGACATACAACCGACGCAAACCGGTTTGTGGGAGAGCGATGCCATGCCACGCTGCCCAAAGCGGGAGAGAGCTTTTGTCCGGATGCCCATTCAGCATCAGTAAACACTACACAGACGACTACGACGAGGGCCCGGCAGGCACCGACAGCCAGCCGACGCCCCTCAAAGCACAGAGCAATTCACGTGCAGGTCTGACGGCTGCACACGACCAACACGTTTTGGCCTTTGGAGCAAATAAGCCTCCCTCCTCGTGGCATGGATCCACCCTCCCCTCACCCTGGTTCTGCTGCTCCCGCAGTCCGGTCCGGTCCCCACTATATTTCTCGTGTCGTCATCCCATCTGTGCTCGAGAGCGAGCCGTGAGCCGGGAGCTTTTGCGTTTTTGGGTAGATAGCGTGTTTTCTGCTGTACGACGCAAACTAAATCAAAATCCTATGGGTAGGAGTTTTATAGTTAGCTACCCTAATCGATAGGGGTATACGGGTTTACCTACTAACTTCAAGTAGCTCGGTGGGTTTTCCAGTTAAAGTTGGGGTTAGAGTTATTGTATTTTATCACAGACCATATACAGTCGAACTTCTCTATTACGAATTTCCATACAACGAAGTTTTCTATTTAACGAATGAATTCTATACCACGAATTTTCCGTGTTACGAATTTGACTTGATTTATGGAATTATTTGAAAAGTATTTTTTGTAACATATTTTGGTTTAGAATTGTGTTTTATGGCTTTAGTCCGGACGTTTTTTATTTTATCTACAGACGGTCGTACTTAAGGTTAATAAGGGATACGAACGAAACGCTACTGATAGTTCTAGAGTACTCCAGCATTCCAAGTCGATTGTTGGATAATTAAAATAAGTTGCGTATCCCAAATACATATGTATGTATAGTATTTTTCTATTCGCTATTTCTTCTATTCGCTCTTTTCGACTCTTGTGCTAAATAATTAGCAATCTCTCTTCTTCATCAATCTTATTATGATTCTGCCTCTGATTCTAGACGAACGTTTCAGGGCATTGCTAATTCGATTAATCTTCATGGGATCTTTTTTATTGTTTCATTATCGTGTGTTGTGTTGTTTTTCTGTTTTTCTGAGGCCAACAACATTTTCGAAAAAGCCCCGAGCAAGCCGCAACTGTACCTAAATCGCCAACGTCGCTGTTTCTTTCTGTCTCTGTTGTCTGGCTTTGCCTCTGCCTCTGCCTCTCGCACACACAAAGAAAACGGAACGGAACGGGCAAAGAGGCAAACGCGAAAGGCAAAAGCTCTCCAACACATTTTCGATAAAAAGAAATCGTTTAAATTGCGCGCACACCAAAAGAGCCTGAAACAGTTGCGACTGCAACGTCGGAGCAGTGACGACGGACCGTCCTCAGCGTCCCAACCAACCTTTAAACCAAAACCAAAACCAAACCAAACCAAACAAAACAAAAAACATAAATAATAGCAACAAAGGAGCAACCATAAAAGAGCCCCAACTTAAAACTAAACCAAGTACAAAATGCTTGCCTAGCTAAAAAACAAAAAACAAAAGGGAAACCAATTGCGCATATAGTGCGCGTATAGTGCAAAATATAATAATTTAATCAACTGTGATATAAGTTTTTTTTCGTTGGTTCTCCAGACCAGACCAAAGCAACCTCTTACCTGAAACAAAATTCAAACACAAAAACAAACCCAAACCCCAGTAAGATGTCCGTTCCCATGATATTGACCCCGATGGAACACCAAAGCTCGGACGAGCACATGCAAAATGTAATTAACAAAAACCTATACCCTAAAAACCAGAAATCATTTGTACTTTTGGGATACATGCATACATATATGGTTGGAGTGGAGCGATTGTTGTGGCTGGGTATGTGTGTGTGTGGGTGTGTGTATGGTTTTATAGTCTCTAGTATAAAATGCAAGTGTTTGAGCTTTGACTTTTTGGGGGGTCTGTGAAGGTCGCTGCTGTTGTCATCAGACATTTGCAGGTCTTTAGTATATGAAAATCAATATATTGAGGGGGCAGAGGGAGAGAGCGAGAGTGTAGGGTTAACGCACTAAATTGGTCTTGGAGATAATGGGCAACAAGGGAAATACTAAGAGTGTGTTTATTTACATTCTGTATAGAATTCTGTCCGGCATAGTATAATGATATGGCAGTGTCTGTTTTGTTATGATGTCATTTCAGGGGAAACGGAAATTGTATCGTGGAGTAGCACTCATATAACTCCAACCTCCAATTTCAATTGTTTCCAAGTAAAAACAATCGACCCACCCCATAGACAGCAGCGTTTCTGTTTATTTAATTTGAAAGCTCTTCAGAGCCATGCCACATGCTGCAATAAGGTTTCACGTGATTCAATTTAGCTTGGAGTTGTGTGCTTGTGAGAGGTTTCAGAGAGGGAGAGACTGAGACCGACCCCAAGTGCCTCAAGTGCCTCCTGCCTTTGCGATGGATGCGATTAGATTCAATTTCCAGCTTATAGATGCAATAAAACGTTCTGCTGATATATGATCCTATAGCTGGGGCCTGATAAGAAATCAGGCTGTAATTGTAGCCCCCTGCCAAACAGATGGCCAGCAGAGCTTTTTTGCTAAAAATAAGATAAGACTAAGTATAAGTAAGAAGGAGTAAAGTTCCCTCCCAAGAAGCGGCAGAGAAGCTTTCCGACTCTAAAATTTCCCATAACAAAGAACATATGTGCGAAAACGCTTGAGAGAGTAGAGAGCGCGTGCGTTAAAGCTACGGTAATTATTGTTCAACACGTGAATGTCAGCCGGCGCAGCGAGCGAGCGTCAGAAAATCGACAAAAAAGCTCGAAATCCCACACGGAAATTAGCATAAAGTTGAGAAATCAGAAATTTAAACAAAACAAAACGATTGCGTTGAAAATTAAAACAACCATTGGAGAGCTTTTGGATATTTGTTGGCCGTTTCTGAGGCGGCACGGCCCACCGATTGATTTACAAGGCTATGCTAATTGTGCCAAGAACGAGAAGAAACGCGCGCGAAACGCTCAAGAAACGCGCCCGCGCTTTGACGCAAAGCAGCCAAAAATACATAAAGGCGGAAAAACTACAATATAGAAAGAACTAAGAAAACTATATACCATACTATACCACTACTATATACATATACCGATTTCACCGATTTGGGGTCTCATTAGCTCACGCGACTCTTTAGCCCAGTCTCTTCTAGTTATCTTTTGAAATGTTGCCAAGGCGGTGGAGGCAGCAGAACCGATCTGTACATTCTGCCCGATAGGTGGGTGGCGTTGTGGCGGCCTCTTTAGTGTATTCTGTAGGGGCTGCTCTCGACACGTGTCTGTGGAAATAATATATGGGTTGCTCAGCCCACTTACATAAACTTTGGCTATGGCGACTGCACTATTTATCGCCCATTTGTCATAGACCCCACGGCAAGTGTCGGCTAATCCTAGGCAGAAGTTGCATCACCACCAATCAACTGCCATGGCAGCAGCAGCACCCCCACCACCACCACCACCACCATCAGCAACAAAAAGTGCTTTTGATTCCTTGCGGATCTCACGCGGTTCGCTCAAAGGTAAAACGCTTACATCGAGCGAAGCGTTTCTAAACGCGTGCTTTTATTTGCATTTTTCGCCACCAACAAAATTTGATTGAACAACAGTGTGTGCAAATATGTGTGGAACTGTGAATAATTGGAAGAGAAACATTCTAAAATATACCTATTCATAGCTCCGAAAAGTCCCCGTCGTTTATCAGAAAAACATTGATGACTTTGACATTGATTGTCGCTGCAATATAAAATCAATTTTAGCAGGAAATAAATCACTGCCCAATAGACGTCGGAGGGGTTATCTTCTTGTCATCTAACTGTTTGATATATGCTTACGTATAGTAGATCCATTACGCAAAACACATTGTACTCGTACGTAGATTAGACTCGGGCTTGGGAATATTTTAATGTATTCAAAAATAGCGCTGAATGATCAGCACACCACAGCTGCTTAAATAGAATAGATTTTCTTTTTAATGGGTTTTTGATTAGATTAATCTGTGAGCCAGTCTGATTTTGAATCGAGAGCCTCAGTGCAAAACACGTGATCTCGTTGGAGCACGGCACGGAGGCGACTAAAAACGCGTGCTTATCGCGCGAACCTGTTTTCGTTTCTAAATACTTCAGCCAGAGGGGGGGAATGGGGGCGAGATTTAAATCGAACGGCGACACTCGGCGTTCCGCTTAGTGAAACTTTATCAGGGCGCGAAACGAAATCCGCAAGGGGTCAACGTTTAATCTCGGCTCCGAGACAGTGTGGGTTGGGTTTATTAAACGAGACCGCTGGCAGCGGTGCCCTCAGTCGTAGTCTAGTCTCCATTGCTGAGCGATGGCCCTGTGGCACACCACCGTACTAATCCTGGCCTATGCCTCCATCTCCTTGCAGTGCGCCGCATACGTGGAGGCCGCCACCGTGCCACCGGGCGCCCTCATCAAGTATGGAACGGCCAATGAGCTGGAGCCGTCGGCCACCGGCGCAGTCACCGGTGCAGGTGCAGGTGCCGGTGCCGGGGCCTCCTGCAAGCCGACGCTGAGGGAGTTCAACGTGAGACTGGAGACTCCCCTGGCGCCGGAGGAGCGCCTGGGACTGACTGGCGACGTGAAGGCCCTGGGCGAGTGGCAGCTCTCGCGCTGCGTGCCCCTGGACTCTCTCGACGAGCTCAACTGGCAGGCCACGGTGCCGCTGCAGTCGTGTCGTCAGCTGGAATACCGCTACTTTGTCTACGTGGAGGATCTGTCCGGCTACAAGCAGATCCGCCGCTGGGAGACGCACTTCAAGCCGCGCTCCCTGGGTCCCTGCTCAGAGATTCAGTGCAGCCAGATCGACGTGTTCGGCATAACCGCGAACAATGTGGATCTGAAGCCGCAGGTCCATCGCGGCTGGCTCAATCACGAGGTGATTGTCCAGCTCAAGTTCAACAGCGAGAAGATGTTCCAAGTGCACGACATCGAAACCTTCGATCCCCAGCATGTCCAGCTGAAGATCGTGCCCGTGGAGATGACCGCTGGCCTCCAGGTGGAGTACACCAAGCAGGAGTACGGCAAGAGTCAGCTGGAGAATCAACCCACATTCGGAGTGCCCTATACCAAGGGCGACATTATCATCTTCCACATAACTGTGCCGCTGGAGAAGATGCTGCAGCAGCACTTCCGTCTGGACTGCTACACCATGTCCAACGAGCTCCTGGGCAGCGCCAATCTTGTCAGCTCGGAGCTGACGGGCAGCGAGGGACTCCTCCATCTGCGCATCAAGTCGGCCAGCGATGCCGAGGAGACCTTGGCCCGACTCCGTTTGCCCTATGTCATTGTCCAGCCGTACCGGTACTCGCCGCTGGACTTCAAGACCACCTATGCCCACTATTGGCCCAAGAGCTGGCCCAATTTGGACGTGGGACATCGCGGCAACGGCAAGAGCTACATTGCCGATGCCCCGGCGGAGAGGGAGAACACGATTGCCTCCTTCCTGAGTGCCCACGAGCACCATGCGGACATGATTGAGCTGGATATCCACCTCACGGCCGACGGAGTGCCAGTGATTTATCACGACTTTGGCCTGCGCACCGCCCCGCCTGGCAAGCAGATCAGCAAGCCGGACCAACTGGAATACGTCCTGATCAAGGACATCAACTATGAGCTGCTCAAGCGCCTGCGCATCTTCTCTGTGATCAATGGGCGGGTGGTGGAGTATCCCTCGCACAATGCCGAGTCCCGACCCGCACATCGCATCTTTCCGCGCCTCGTGGAGGTGCTCGACGAGCTGCCCAAATCCCTGGGCATCGATGTGGAAATCAAGTGGCCGCAGCGTCGCCAAGGCGGTGGCAGCGAGGCCGAGCAGACGATCGACAAGAACTTCTTTGCTGACCGTGTGCTGCACCAGGTGATCCAGCATGGCTGCGGGCGTCCCATCATTTTCTCCAGCTTCGACGCCGACATGTGCACCATGTTGCGCTTCAAGCAGAACGTCTTTCCTGTGATGTACCTCACCCAGGGCCAGACGAAGAAATGGCAGCCGTTCCTTGACCTACGAACGAGGACCTTCGAGGCGGCCGTCAACAATGCCCAGGCCTTCGAGCTGGCCGGCACCGCACCCCATGCCGAAGACTTCCTCGGCGAGAACGCCGCCCAGATGCTGCAGCGGGCCAAGGACCTGGGCCAGATCGCCGTCGTCTGGGGCGACGACTGCAACTCGCGGGAGCGTGTCAAGTATTTCACACAGATTGGGGCCACGGCCACGTGCTACGATCGCAGCGATCTCTACATGCCCGACGGCAAGCAGGAAGCGTTCTTCAAGTCTCCGGCCCTGATGGCCGAGTTCGCGGCCCAGTGCCGGGTCTAGGCGGGGTGAAGGGGCGGGTAGATCTTAGAGCCTAAGTTAATCGTTAATCTTGTAAAGAAACCTATTTTTGTATATTTATTTGGAAACGTAACGTAAGAAAGAGAAATGTGAGAAGGGGCATCACCGAAGGGGAAGAAGCGCAGCTTCAAAATGTTGTTTATTAAATTATAGTTTCCAACGTTGTCCAAACGGAAACCGAAAAATGTGAAGCCATCATATGGCCATAATTAGAAAGAAAAAAGAAACCCCCATTCCCCCAGAGCATGGGAGGAATTCCCCTCAAAATTAAGTAGCAACATAAAAGACAATGAGAGAAGAAAGCGATGCAAAAAGTTGAGAAAAGAAAACAAGATGAGAATGAGAATTGCAAATACACATATATTTATGTACACCTAATACCTGCTATAAATCGTTAAATACCTCAATGCAAAATGTGCAAAAAACAAAAAACAAAAAAAAAACCAGAGCTAATTGCAAATAATTTTGAAAACTTTTATGCAAAAATACTACATAGAAAATTTGCTATTTGCTTTCACATATTTAATAATTATTGGGGATTTTTTATACCATTTTGTAGTGTTAGTTTTTGTCTATGTTTAAGCAAAGAGTCTTTTTGTTTTTGTTCTATTTGAATGGCCTAAATGCAATGAAATTTACAAGCAATTTCCATTTGAAAGTACACACTAAAAAGAACAAAAAAATATTGTTATTAATATTTAAAGATATATTTAATGTCAATACAAAACAGACAAATGCCACGCGTGATTGGCAGAACAAAGAGACAAATATTGAATATTCCGCTCATCCGAAAGTGCTGATTGAAGACATTCGTTTAAAAATAAACACACGCAAACGCAACGCAACACAACACTCAATGGAATGACGTGTTTTACTATATGATGATCTGATCTCTAAACAGAAACAAAGAAACAGAAGAAAGAAATTGTAAAATTCGATCCGCTTACATTTGATGGGGCAGCATATCGTGACGAATGTAAAAGCACCATGAAAATGCTGAGCCCCGAAACACGGCCCATAAACGGTACCCACAAGGCAAAGAGAGGGCCATAAAAAAGGCTGGGCGGCCGGGGCAGTCGTGTAAAAGCCATGCCTAAAGCCAGTTCAGTTTATGGCCAATTAGAGCGCAAACTCATTTGCATGAGGCTTAGGACGAGCCAGTGGGAATTCCAGTGCCAGTGCCTATGCCTCCGCATGGGTCTGTTGCTGTTGCTGCTGTCACCAATCGGTAGGGCCTGTGCCAGCGGGGCGTGGAAATGTCTATACAAAGAATTTCCAGTTGACACAGAGAAGGTGAGAAAGTGATATTGGATGATCTTGAAAATTGATAAGCAATCTAGCGTTGGATCGCTAATAACTGAAACCTGATATGTGGGGAATTTAAGATCAAGGGCGGCTGGTGGATTTATGGGACCAATCCAGGGGGAGAGACCCGATGCTACCTCGACGGCCGTAAGCGATAGACAACTTCAACTTCGAATGATTTGATGTCTATGTTTGATTAATGTGTGCTTTATATGTTTCCAGTGAATCTCTATTGGACACGCATCACCATGACGGACTACGATAATTATGCCGTGGAACTTCACTGCTCCCTGCCCTGGTTCAAGCATCTGATGGCCATCTACACCAGGACCCAGGAACCCACACAGGAGACCCTCAACGCAGTCGCTGGCTACCTTCAGACGGTACGTCTGTCATTGGCCAACTTTACGCTGGTGGCGAAGCCGGAAAACTGTGTGAACCAGAGCCACGGTCCCTGGCAGCGCTGGTATCTGGCCAGGTATCTTCATTTGGAATACCATCCGCATTATCTCAAGCCTCTGATCGACGATGAAAATATCTGAAGCAGTCAGTAGTGGTCTCTCTCTCTCTCTCGCGTGGCCCAAACTTTCTTTAGCCAGAAATTTACATATATGCCAAATTTGGTCGAAAAATATGCGAATAACTTAAAACAATGAGAGAATTGTTCAGCCCAAGTCGAATTTCAGATACCCTCGCAGTACCAGAGCCGCGGGGTGCCATCAAAATAAATGATATGATCTTCTCTGAGTGAAAGGTTTTCACTGCCCATTAAAATCAACTTTATGGACATATATCTCCATCATGCTTTAATTAACCCACCTGCTATTTGCTCGGGCTATCATTAGGCCCCGAAGTCCGCCTTCCGACTCAATTAGTGGGCTCGCTGGCCGGCGCTGACTTATTAATCCACGATGAGGGCATCCACAGAGATCTTCGATTCGAAATATCAATACCAAAATCCAAAATTCAATTTCGATGACAACAAAACTATGCTGAGCTTTAAGAGATTCTTTCATTCGTTTGTTTGTCATCGTTGGGTCAAGTTGCCTCCGCATCCGCATCGTCCGTGTCTGCGTCAGCGTCCGCGTCCGCGTCCGAGTTCGTGTTTCGTTTTTTTCTTTCTTTAAGTTTTGGCGCTTTACCTCTTTTTTTTTATCCGAAAGAGAAAACTTGTTTCTTTGGCGAGATGATGATGGTGTGCCTGCTGCCCCCAAAATCTGTGTGGAATGAGGAAAAATGTATCGATTTTGTGTGTTGTTGAATGTGTTAAAATCAATTAGCATACTGCTGTTTCTGTTTATGCCGCTGCTGCTGTTGCTGCTGCTGCCCCTGCCATTGTCTTATGCCACCACCAGTCGAACGGAACTGAATGAAACGCTTGTCTTTGCCGCCGAGAAGCTGCAGGCCTTCAAGATCTTCGACGATGAGCAGCAGCCAGCCGGGCAGGTCTCGGGTCGCAGCTTCATCTGTGTGCCCCTCTTTCGGGTCTTCAGTCTGGAGCTGAGGCACAACATTCGCCTGGCTGCCGACGAGTATATTGCCGTTAGCGGGGATCATGCCGCCCTCGGGTATTGGCAGCTGGAGAAGGCAGTTCCGCTGAAGGCGCAGGACAGGGCCAGGACCAAGTGGTATCTCCGGCTGTGGGTCTGTGCCAGCCAACGGTTCTACTATCGGTATCTGATCTACGCGAAGAATGGCCAGGGCAGGCGGATTCTGCGAAGCTGGGAAGGCCAGAAGGTGGCCAGAATGATGCAGACCTACGAGATCTATCGATCCCCCGGCCTGGACATCTTCGGCGAAGCCTATCCCCGATCGGTGGGTGGTGGCTTCCACCTGGAGCGCGGCTGGCTGCAGCACGAGTACGTCATCGAGCTGAAGTTCGTGTGGCAAGATCACATGGTCATCTCTGGGGTCGGCAGCAAGGCCAAGCTCCGACTGGCGCTGACGCCCCTCAACGTGATCGATGATTCCCGGATTGAGGTCGCCAAATATGCCTACAATCACTCCTCGTTCCGTCCACTGTCCGCGCTGGGAGTGAAGTACAGCCAGGGCTCCATTGTGATCTTCCGCATCAGCCAGCCCCTGGACATCTACAACGCCTTTCGCCTTTCCATCTATCAGACGGGGAGCAAGCAGTCCCTGGGCGAGGTCTACATCTTTCCCGAGCAAATCCGGGGAAGTCGCGGCACGCTGCAGCTCCCGATCTTCGCCAGTCTCCAGACCATAGCCATTGGACAGCTGAGCCTGCCCTATCTGGTGGTGCTGCCCATGCCCAAGGTGGAGGCCTGCAACTTGAGGGAGAGCTTCCATCACTACTGGCCCGACAACTGGCCCACCATGGATGTGGGCTATCGGGGACTGGGGGCCAGCTACTATCAGGCCTCCACCACCCTCACGGAGAACACGATAGAAAGCTTCCTGGCCGTGATGAAGGCCAAGGGCGACATGGTTCAGCTCGACGTGCAGCTAACCAAGGACTATGTCCCTGTCGTTTGGCATGGCTTCGGGTTCTACACGTCCGGCAAGGATCAGCAGATCAGGGATCGCTTCGATCTGCGCTACGTGCTGATCAGGGAGCTAACCTACGCGGAGCTCAAGGCCAGTCGCGTGTTCATCCTGAAGCGCTGGAGCCTGCAGGAATACACCCACCTCAACCTGAGGGACTCCAGCCAGAGCCAAAGAATCTTCCCCAAGCTCTCGGAGGTGTACGAGGCCCTGCCCAAGTCACTGGGCCTGCTGGTGGAGATCAAGTGGCCGCAACTGATGGCTTCGGGTCTCCTGGAGTCGACCCAGAGCCTCAACAAGAATGTCTATGTGGATAGAATCCTGCAGACGACGGTCCGCTATGGCTGCGGCCGTCCCCTGATCTTTGCCAGCTTCGATGCGGACATCTGCACTATGATCCGGCTCAAGCAGCAGGTCTTCCCCGCGATCCTGATGAGCATTGGGCGGTCCAACATATGGGATCCATACATGGATCTCAGGGCCCAGAGCTTCCAGCAGGCCGTCAATTTTGCCCATTCGGCGGATATCCTGGGCACAGCCCTGCACGTGGAGAACTTTGCCCAGAAACATCAATTGCTGAGCGTTGCTCTTGACCTGAAACAGGTGATCTTCCTCTGGGGCAATGACCTGGGCCAGGACGAGCATCTGCTGGAGCAGTTTCGGGTCCTAGACGCGACTGGCGTTATCTACGATCATATGGATCGCGTGGGTCCGGCCAGCTGGAAACGTTCCTCCTTTTTCCGGGCGCCTCAGCTGCTGGAGCTGTTTGGGGCCCAGTGCGTGGCCAGTGGCAATTCATCGACCATTCCGGGCGCAAAGCCGCCCAAGCCTACGATATGGCCAAAACTGAGATAGAAATCTCTGAAATGCCAACTGGCAAGCTTTTTTTTTTATTTTTTTAAATTATTCTGTATTATTATTATTATAACGTTTCGATTTCGATTTAGTTTAAATTAATTTGTATTTTAATTTATTTTGTTGTTTGAACTAAAAATGATTCAAATTCAGAGATTAGGTAGGAATTTAATAATCGATCTCAATAATAAGAAATGTTACTAAATGCATATACGAGTATATTGTAAGTATTTTGTGGTACTCGTGTGTATATTGATTTATTTATACAATTTGTATGGGATTGTTTGGCTTTGTTTGGTTTTGTTTGGTTTTGTTTTGTGAAACGCACATCAGGTAGTCGTACTCCTCCCATCCGCATATTTAGACACTTATGGCACATACAAAATGGTTATACTAAGAAAAAAAAGAGCAAGTGGGATACTCTCTACTGAGTGGAGCAGTTGCCATCGTTGTAGATGACCATATAGTCATCGGTCACACAGGCACTTCCCAGGGGCATGGACTGGCAGATGCCCTCCACATGCTTGGTGATCTCCACGTAGCAGGAGCGATGGCCGTGGGAGGAGAGCTTGTGGAAGCCGCTCGTCGGATGCTTGATGACGGTCGGATGCTTGTGGCCGCCCAGCCGGTGCTTGGGCGATGGGGGCGCTGCCACCGGGGCTGTATCTTCGGCAAACTCCAACCAGGGAGGAGGCAGCGAGTGCTGCTGCTGCTGTTGCTGCTGCGACTGTCGCTGGTCCACAGTGACCTCTTGGTCCACCTCCATGGGCAGTTCCACGCCCTCTACATCGTCGTCGAGCGGAAAGGGGAAGGATGTCTTCGATTTGCCGATGATTCCCCCCTGCTCATTATCGGCCACAGAGGCGGCGCTCAGGAGCTGCGGCGTCAGCACCAAGGCGTTGGCAATCAGCAGAGTTGTGGTACAGTAGAGCAGCAGATGGAGTTGGGCCATCCTTTAGTAGTTCCTAGAGCAAAGTTGCTGCAAAGTCGTGTGCCTCCTTGTGAACTGTTGCACTGGCAGTGCATGAATGTGGCTAGCCAGGCTATCGATGCGGGTTTTTATAGCCGGCCGGCCAGCCAGCCCGGAGATTTTCCCCAAACAGTCAATGACCCAACAATGGGACCCGACAATGGGACCTGCAGGCTGCAGCAGCGGCAGCAGCGGGCAAGAAAGCGGCGCCAGAGGAGTCAAACAATTGGAATTGAAAAGAAGCCACTCAAGAACTGAAATCATCATCCAATCCTATCCCAATCCCCACTCCCACTCCCACTTCCACCAGGCTTCCACCAGCCAGAGACGACACAAAAGGTCGTAATTAATTATAGTTGAGTATACGCCACGTAAGCCTCAATGACAAGGACTCCCTGCGGTGCTTCCTCCTTCCTAACCGCCTACTGGGAATGGATGTTCAGAAAATTGGAAATCTATTCCGAATTCCAATTGCGATTACGATTCCGATTCCGTTCATTCTCTTCCTCGATGCGATTCGATTCGATTTGGTTTCTATTTGTGCGCCTTACGCCTTGCGTCTTGCCTTCCTTTTGTATTTCCGGCAATTATTTTCGACGATGTGACAATATTGTCTGTGACGGTCTGTGGAGGAGTCCTGGTGCCAGGCTTGGGCATTGGGTGTGGAGTGTGGAGTGTGGTGTGTGCGGGGGAGGAGGGCTTTTCTCTAACGACTTCATAAGCATCTGGATTCAATTGAATTTAAATGCAGTTGTTGCCTTTGGCCCGCACCAGCACTCAAGGAGGAGCAACCAAAGCGACGACAACAATTTAGCGGAAGTGAGGCTGACGCCATTTTTAAAATGGCGCATACGTGTGCGACGTGTTTATGGGAGACTTTTTTTGTTTTTTTTTTTTGATAACTGACAGACATGACAGACAGCCGCACAAGTCTAGGCCATGGCCAATAACAAGCTCTGCCAAGATGGAAATTGCCCGTGAACGATTCTCAGCTGCAGGCCGTGCCACGTGACTTGCCAAGTGATTTCCTGTGACTTTCCCCGAGTCTGAGCCTGCTCTTTAAAGCCCTTAATGTCGGTTGAAACTTTAAAGTGTATTTAAATTAATCATGAATCATTTATCAATTATTTGTCGGTGGGGAAGTTGTTAATTGTTCGATTAAACGCTTCGAAATGTTAAACAGAAATCATCCTGGCAGTAGTGATTGTGATTCCTCCCTCTGTTCCACCCTGCTACAGTCACAGTGCCAGTACCGTACAGCTCTGATCATCTCTGATGGCAACATGAAGCCGCCTGGGGACTGCTTATACAGCACGCAGGATGAATAGCTAAGGATTTGGCACGCACCCCCCAGGACTGGTAGACAATGCCACCCAGCCAGATATTCGCTGAATCATTAAATTGCTGCCTGGCATTATCCACAGGCTCCAGACAACAGGAGCAGCAGCAGGAGCAGCAACAAAAAAGAAGGAGGCAAAAATGGCACGTGAAATTAATTTAAATGCTGTGATTGCCGGATTGCTGGATGAATGACATTTGTTGTCGACACAACACGACACCCCTGGACGACTCCCTAGCTTGTTAGCAATTCAATTTGGCCATAATAGATGGCTCTGACAAGGCACTTCGAGTGCCTGAGTGAGAGCTGCCTTCCTACTGCCTGAATCCACTCTCCCAGTACCTAATGCCCTCTAGGCTGTCGTCTTGTTAAGGAGCTTAACCCTGCTGGCTGCGGTTCACCTCAATTTCCAGCTGAAGGCGAGCTAATTAAACGCCTTTGCCACTGTCACTGCTAGTGCTGCTGCTGCTGCCGCTGCCACTGCCACTGCCTTTGCCCAACTAATTAGAGCAGCTGTCACAGATCCCCAGCCAGAACTAGGGCCCAAGAAGCAGGCCAAGGCTTTACAAATAATTCAATTAAATTGCTCACGAACAGAGTAGACAGAAATGAAGAACGACAGCAATAGGAATAGCAATAGCAACAATAGAGATTGCAGCAGCAGCAGCAGCAGCAGCAGCAGCAGCAACAGGGAGCGGGAGAGGGAAGACGCGGGGGAAAAACCACAGACAAAGCAGGCCACAGAAACCGAGGCATTTCCACAGGAAATCCCCGTGTCAGAGTCGAGACGGATAATGCAAATACTCTTGCTTTTTGGAAAAACAACCGCAAAAGCCAAAATGCCAAGTAGAAATTGACAAAGACTTTGGTTTTTGGCGGCTACAGAGAAGAGGATGAGACAGGCAGGTTCTACTGATAGTCGGTGGTGTGTCAAAGGCCGCTGGATATTTCTCCCCGTCAATTGCTACACACCGTATCCTCCGTTTCTCCTCAAGCTGAATATCTCCCACGTAATGGAGAATCGCAATGAAAATTGAATTGAAATCGGGTAAAATACTTTTAAATTGAATTAAACACAAATTTAATTTGAATCGAATGGAATTGGCAATGGAAATGGTTGAAGGCGGAAAAAAATATCACCAATGGGCAATGGGGAATGAGGATTGGGGAATGGGAATCGCATATGAAATCCCTATTCAAAAATGTCAAAAGGAAATCGAAGAGGAAATTGAATTCGTTTCAGCATTTTATTGCATATTCAGCGATGAGCGAAACGATGCATGCAACTTGATTATGTTTCGAGAGGTAAACCCAAGGAGAACACTCCTATGAATCATCAAATTTGGGGTCATTAAATAAATATAGAGATCTAAAGCCAAGAAATAGTACCATACCAAATAGAATTACATAAAAATGGTAGAAAGCTTCAACACTTGGCTGGATACATGTATCTTTAGGGGTCGCCATTGCATCGACACGATTTAAAATTCCTATCAATTTGCAATCCATACACATTGTGGTTTTCTTTCTAAGCTGAAGGATGGTGGGATCTGTAACATGTAGAATGTAGACAGCACTTTAGAAACCGCATTTCTTTTACTTTATTGAAAACAAGTCTTTTGTATTTGTTGATTGGAGTGGCCTGAGAGTATGTGTCGTCCTGTGTTGCAGGGAAGAAGAGAGTTTCGCAGAGTGTAAAGAGGAGCAGATCGAGAGATGGAACAAAGAAGAAACATCGTGCTACTCTGAGATACGTATAGTGGGCGACTAAAGTCTACATACGACCTCTATTAGTGGTATCACAGGCTTGTGAGATTTAATTGTAATTTAGGCAGAAATAAACCAAAAACTGGTAAAATTCAAGAGCATTATTATGAAAGAAAGAGAGAGAAGCCCTCATATATTAAAACAAAACAATTAAAAATAAAAAAATTTTGTTAAATAATAAAAATTAAAATAATGTATAAAACATACTTAGTATTAATAATATAATACAAAATATTAATAATATTAGATCAAAGTTTGAGTGAAACTGAGTTCTAATAAAAATTAAAAAAAAAATAATAATAAGAAGAAACATATTTAATATAAATAAATAAATACATTTGCATACATAGACATATCTAAATATTTAATTAAATTTTGAAATATATTTTGATTTAATTATAAAATAAATTTAGATCAAATATTTGTATATAGTAAAAAAGTTAATTTTTTCTTAACGTTTTCTACTTTGAGAACTAATCTATGGTTAAAAATATATATGTAAATATATAACCTCAAAATTTCTTCTAATAAAAGACTCCATTAAAACCATGTATGTACATGGGTACATATGTATGTACATATACTTATGTGTACGTACTAAGTATTTATGTACATAAAAATACTTACGAGTACCCTTAACTTGAATAATATCCATATTCCTGTAACCAAAACTAATTAAGCGTGCGTTAATGGCTCAGTCCCCAGACATTAGGCCATCAAGTTTATGGCCGAGACCAGACTAGACCCTTAACCAACTCCGGCCGCCTCTTGACGGCTTTTGTTATGCGGCTACAAAGTGCCAGACGACGTGTGACAAAATCGGCAGAAGTGCGAGGCCAGCAACCATTTGTTCGCCCCTGAATGAGTGCCTCCAGAATCGGGATATCTTGGAGCTGGGGACTGGGGTCTTGTGACTCTTTCCTGCTGGCGTCTGCTGGCTCAATTTAATCCTTGGCTGCGCCGAAAATGATGGAGCACGAACAACTTTTTGGCGCCGGCAACGTTTTAATTTGCATTAAAACGCGACGCGACTAGAGTTGCCAAAAACTCGCGTTCGAGCAACTATTAAACTAAACTTACATCTACCCCTTGGGCTATAAGTTTTTCGCTCTCCAGTTTCGTGAGCTTGCATACAAATGGGGCCCATCAGGAGCCACCCAATGCGCACCAACGCGCACCATCCGCACCACTCGCATGGCACCTTAAGGCCTTAATAATGCCAACCATTTTGGCCACAAATCAAAGCGAGTCCGGGGCGCCGAAGGGTCCAACAAGTTGTCGGCTTAGCATGTGGGACCATTTTCTCTCTTGCCCAGCGGGAATCATAAATTTCGTGATAGGCGGGGGGGCTCATACCTCAAGGCTCGAGGCTGATCAGAGATGAAATGATTTATGCATGTTAATATCTGATCAGTCGATGGCAAAAGTTCGATAAAGGAAAGCCCAGAAGCAGCATACTTTCGGCTTTAATATTGGCCAATTCGGAGACTTTTGGCCATTCGACGATGGATTTCCCGAGCACATACACACACACACAAGCCTTTGGCAGAGAGAAGTAAAAGCTTTTCACTGTGCGCGTTCCGCGACCAGTCGAGCCAGAGGCAAAGAGCAGCTGCCACATGCCACATGCCATACTCCACACACACATGGTGCACAGCAGCGCAGCAGCACAGCAGCGTATCAGCACAGCAGCAGACATGCCAGCAGGGCTCTCCCGGATTCCGTGGCCGTGTTCAATGTGGATTGCAGAGGGCCACAAGACTATTTAAAAATTAATACAACTGAAATCCACCATTTTCACGCCAGCTAAGGCAGCTGCAGACAGGGCGGCCCATCCTTCGAGTGAGATAACTGGAGGAAGGGCAAAGAAAAACTGGTGCGGGGCGGGGCGGGGTTGAAGGCAATTGCATTGCCATGAGCTTCT